TGTATTGGGTACAGGGCTGTCCAGCTTCTACTGCTGGGCTGCACCTGCCATTGCAAAGACTTCTGGAGGGTGGAGGGCATTATGCTGCCCCCTGCTCCAGATGGTGTGTGGTGAGCTTGTTCTTCAGCTGCAGCAGCAGCAGCTGTCACCAGAATATGGATAGAGCTGAGGCAGGTGATACAGTCACCTCCACTCCCCTGGTTCTGCAGTGGTTGGCGCTGTCTGGGGTGCTGCAGGAGCTCACTATGACCGAGTCATTTTGGGTTATAAAGTAAAGAATAATCTTTAAACATATGTCCCAGGATAAAACAGCTGCATATAAAGGGGATCTGCAAAGGGATTTGCAAAAATAAGGTTTCTGCCCTTTTCATGAGTTTTCAGGTATTAAAAGAGGTCTGGAAGAGTGGTTGCTCCCTGTTTGTGAAGGAGTTTGCATCCATTTTCTTTCAATCTGAAAAAAATAAAGGAATATCAGTCAGTCTTTCCTAATTAGAGGGAGGAACTTTTTGGGGTCTGAGAGTGTGTATACTGTCAGCTCTCACTCTTTAGCAAAAGCTTGCTCCCTTCAGATTTGCAACTAAAGTTAAATAGGAATTAGTGTGTTCAAACAGTTTTGGTCTGTGAATGTGCCAAGAAAATTGAGTATAAATTCTGCTAAATAGATATCAAGTTTTGTTTCTTATGGCTTACAGGACCTTTTCCCATTCCAATTTGGGTTTTAAATATATAGGTAAATTCAGTTAATATTTTATTGGGAAAAATGAAAGGAAAAATTTAATTCATAAAATTCCATAGACCTCCTTATTTCTTGTTCTTATACTCTCTCTCTCCCCCTTCCCCTCTCCCATTCTGTACCCTCACAGAATAATCAAGTCTCTTGTGATTTAAACAATCCTTTTCCCTGTTCAAATCCAGGAATAGAAATGATGCCATGTGATAATAGGACACCAATCACATTGTTTAAATATATAATAGCCAAATGGACATTTGCAATGAGCGGCTCATGAAGAATACATAGGCTGAAATGAATCTACACAGAATGTTTGCAGAACAATTGTGAATAGATACTAAGTTCCTTAACATTCTAATTAAATGCATATCACAGGCTGTTTGCAAATAGTTTGTGAACAAAAAAATTGGATAAAATTTGCCAAATGAACTGTCTCCAGTAAATTGTTCACCCAGCTCAAATAATTATAGTTGCTGCCCTATTTTCCTTGCTTTTAATTTGCCTTTTGACTATAATTAAGCTCATCTTGCCTTTTAAGCTTTTAAAAGTGCACATTAAAGAAGAATGCAGTCTTGTCTGTGAGGAGGTCTTACTCTGCCTCTTATAACTCTAAAAGTAGCTACTCAGCCCACAGTTTATTAGATATCTGAATCTCCCATAGATCCAACCAATTCCTGAGGTGTGGTGTGCTTTAATATAGGTACATATTAATATAGTGACATCAGGTTTACAAGAAAGAAACTAGGAGATACCAGAGCTAATACAAAAATTCACTTTGGAGTTTTCAGATGGGGTTATTCAGTCATAAAAAAAGAAAAATAGGGAAAAGGAGAGTCGATTTAGAAATAAATTGCATAAGCCAGTGGTGCCCAACCTTTTCAGTCCATGGGCCAGATTGGCAGTGCCAGGTCCAGGCACAGGCTAAATCCAGCTTTTGGGCTTGATCTGGCATGCAGGATCAACAGGTAGGGCCCCAGTCCAACCCTGATCCATCGGCTGGTGAGGGTGGGAGTGGCCTGGTCCCCATTTGGATGCATGGTGGTGGATAGGGCAGCGCAGACTCAATCCAGACATGAGGGGAGAGGGTGGGGCAGAGTGACCCTAACCTGGATGCACAGGTGAGGGAGAAGGGTGAGTAGGCCCACCCAATTTGTATGTGGAATAGATGTGGGGGGAAGGTGTGGGGGGCAGGGTGGAGCAGCCCTGATCTGGACATGTGGCAGGGGCAGTGCAACCCAGACCTTATCTGGATGCCTGAAGAATGGATATGGTAGAGTGGCCCCTATCTGGGCACATAGGAGATCAGGGAGCAGCAGGACTCAGTCCCAACATGTGGAGGTGGACTCAGCCTAGTGGCATGGGCTGGGCTGGGCTGGACCTAGCTATGCAGAGCTTCCTCCACTCTCTAGCTGCCAATTCTTTCAACCCTTGGGGATTCCTGTGGGCCAGATGTCATGGCTCCATAAGCCAAATCTGGAAGTTGAGCACCCCTAGTATTAATTAGTAAGTGATCTTACCCCTAGTCAGTGATTAGTTTATATTTCTCTGATTCATTAGTGTTAGTGTCAGAGTAGTTCCTTTAAATTACACCTCCAATCATGGAAAAAATTCCTTATGTGAATCTGTGGGACAAATAATGTACTCAGTGGGCATGTCTACCTGTGCTATTAATGCACAGTAAAATTACTGCACATTAAAAAAGGGTGCAGTAAATTGACCTCAGGAAAAGGTTTACATGTGCACTGACTTGAGAGAAAATGTGCTCCCAACTAGAGCAGTTGAGACCATGGATGTTCCTGCCACCCTGTCCTGCTCTGCCACATTGCAGCATGCAGGGGGAGGTCCAGGCTCCCTGGGGTGCCATCCCAGGGCTAACAGTGGGCAGGGGGCTGGTCCCAATCCCCATGCGGGAGACGGGAATAGTTGTCCCAGCTGCTGGGACTGCTGCATCTCAGCCATGTGGGGATTGGACCCAATCCACATGGGGCCAGGGAGCAGGGATTCTGTCTGGCAGCCACATGGAGATCAAGAGGAGCCCAGTCTCCATTTGGTTGTCTGCACCAGGCAGGAAAAACTTTCACAGCTAAGTGGGTATGCTTCTGGTTGGGATGCAGCAGCCCCAGATACCAGGACATCTCTCCCAGCCATGTGGGGATCAGGATGGTCCCAATCCCCATGCGGTGGGGAGACAGCTGTCCCTGCAGCCAGCACAGCTCCTTTCCATACGGGGCTTAGCCAGGCAACAGTGGGTCCTCTGCTGCCTAGGCTGACTGGGAGCAAATTGCTCCCTGCCAGCATCTACATGTGTGCTACTGCACAGTAGCTAATGAGCAGTTAATCTTCTACCTGTATTTTTCAGATTGTGAGAGTGTGTGTGTGTGTGTGTGTGTGTGTGTGTGTATAATATGGCAGGGCTGCTAAGTGGGGGTGGGGGGAGGATCTTGGGCTCTTGGTAAGGGAAGCAAAAGGGTTCTCTCCATGTGGGACTTTAAACCACAGGGGCAGGGTTTCATGTGTGGCATGGCAGGAGGCACAATTGTTGGGACCATGGATTGGTTTTCATGGGACTATTAAATGAGCTTGTGTCAGGCATTTGAAAGGTCTAATAGATGAAAAAGGATCTAAGTATATATTCTGGTCTTAGGTCGCCACAAGTTATATTTCCCAAGGAAGCAACAATCATGTCTTGGCTGAGCTTCAGGAAACACAACTATCCTAATGCTACTTTAACACTTTCTTCTTTAATCTCACTGCTACTATACATGATCAGCTTGTTGTTCTCATTTCATTCCTTTCACACAATGAAACTGAGGTGTCTTAACGTAGAGGTGGTTAAATCACACACCATACCAGCCTTTGAATTATTCTGCTTTTTAGCCAAAGAATGTACTGACTAATTCAGTGACAGGTTGGTGTTTATTTTTAGAAGACTATTAAAGGTGTCATTTTTGCCTCTGTCTCACAGACACACATGCACATACACACACTAATGAACCATTAAAAAAGAGAGAGATGAAAGACATCCTGTCAAAAATGAAGTTGAAAATGTGGGCTTTGAACTTCTTCTTTGTTTTTCTTGCTATCTTTTGTAGCAGTTTGTTATCTGGAGCCAGGTGGCAGAAGTTTGGCCAGAGGTTGTAACACACATGAGGTCTCTTGTTGAGTTTCAAATTGTTCATGGGCTTGCTAATGAGTCATATCTTTCATGTAGCTTCAGATGCTGGTAGTGGCACAAGAGAAAAAGAGAGCTACTTTTCCTCTGCTTTGCTTTTGTGGGAATAGTTTCCTAGTTTTTCTACCCTTCCTTCATGTCTTCAGGACCAGTTAAATGTACCACATTTTCTAGCTGATTATTATTGTCCAATCCTTTCAGAGTGAGAAATCTTTAGGCCTCAGTTCATGGTAGAAATTGATTCATGGCATGTTTTTTGCCAAGTTGGATAGATCAGAGTGAAGTCAGATGATCATCCAAAATAAAAAAGGATGCGTTAGGTACCTTTGCTAAGATAGGTGATCTCAGCTTCACACTGAGATAATGGATGTAAGACCCATAATCAGCAAAAATCACACATCGTAAAAATAACTGATGACTTAACCAATATATTTCTCCATTCATGGTTTTTATTCATGACTGTTCCTTCACTGTTTTTAGCATTTCTTCAAGTATTTTGGACTTCTTACTGACAATGAATTGGGGGAGCTAATTTCATTAATCATTTGTTCAGATGCCTTTTGACCTAAAAACACAAACTGATTTTTAATAAGCATATTTATTAGAATCCCACTCAGAAATAAACAATTAACATTTTCCCATGTTCAGTTCATGTCTGAACCTCTGTGCCCCGTATGTATTGGACAGAGGATAGCCACACCCCATTCAAAACCTTAATTACTTCCCATTCCCTTACTCTGACAATTTTTTCTCCTAAAACAAGAATCATGGGGTGTATTTTTTTCCATAGCCATTCATCTTCAGAATGGCACACATTAAGTTAGAGTTAGGAAGGAAAGCCTTTGTACTTAGGGATGGCAATCAACTACATGATCAGTTTGGGAAAGCTGATGTGTTTTGGCCATAGAATAAAGAAATTATTTGAGGGACTTCTGGTTCATGAAATAAATTGTTTTTTCCAAGTCCTGAAGTCTCCAATTCTATTATTTTTGCACTAAATTGGCATAAAAACCTGGTGTATTTATTCTCTCCTCTTAGCAATATTTCATCTTGGTCTGGGGTCTGCAGCTGTTTACTTGCTAATTTTGAATCTTTCAGGTGGATGTTTTTCAAGTGGAAGCAGTAGATCTTGGATCCCTGCAAGAGCTGGTTGTAGAAAAAGGGAAAGGCTCGGATTGGCAACTGGAGAAGATTATTGTTAAAGAGCCAACATTTTCTGGGACAGAAACACTGTTTATGGCTCAAACATGGCTAAAAGACAGAAAGGATGGGAAAAAGTTGGCCTCAGTAACTCTGAATGCTACAGGTCAAAATTATTTTAGAAATAAATTATTTACTAAGAAATGTGTTGACAACTATATTGTTTTTGTTTCTATAAATGGGTTATACTGTAAGAAACTTCAGTGTGTTGTTGTAATTAAACAGGAATTACAGTCTCTGAACACTGATGAGCTTTAGTACTATTTAGTAAGCAGTACTGCAAGGAGACAATCAGGGCTCTGTTGTTTCAGATTTATTTTGGCACAAAATGAGAACAAAATTTCTACATAAATTGCTGTCTCTCTAAGCCTGTTTTGTTATTTATGAAAGGCTACTGCTTTTAAAGATTGTTTTTAATTCCTACAAGGTCTAAATCCTCTGCTGTTTTGCCAGACCTGGTTAGAGAGAGATTGCTAGTTTGCTTCACCATGGTCAAGCTGTAGGCAAAAGTCTCTGTAGTCTTCAAGATAGCAATCTAACATTCTGGCCTCTACACTGCATTGCCATGAGAGCATATACTGTATACAGTACTGTGTATTTAGCCAACATCTATGCTGCAATCAGCAGTAATCTTCAGATGGTGGCTAAAAAACAGTTATTTACTAGAATAAAGAATCTTGTCCTGAAGGTAAGCAATAATCTAGCATAAACCATACCAGTAATATCTCTGCTCACCATAGCTGTATAACCCAGGGCAGGATGTTACCTAATAATCCAGATTTTGAAAAGAAATCAAAACAAAATGTTAACCATATAAAAGCCTGTAGATTTTATGGGTTTTTGAACTTTTATTTTTGGGGGAAAATACTTGAAATATTCTTCACAAAATCCTTTGTATGGGGCATTTGTATACTTCTAAAAGAATACAAAAGTTTTTCATTTGCTTCATAGAAGAAAGAATTGTATTTTTTTAAAGCAATTATGGCTTGTCCAAAATCTATTGAGGTCAAGAGAAGGATTCCCACCTTAGGTTCAGGCCCTTGCATCTAATTATGATTTAAGCAATCGTGGTCCAATCCAACTCCTTTCATGTTAATGGGAATTGATTTCAGTGATAGCAGGACCAGTCCCTAAGATCATCTTTAAACACAGCTGATCAATTGCCCAAAAGCGATGTGAGCCATCATTATGTAAAGGAAGTATAAATTATTTAACTGTGAAAAATAATTGAGCATTCAGATCACAACCACTTAGAGGAATTGTGCTTGTTGTAAACACACCTTATTAGATGAAACAGTATCCAGGATAGGAAGCTTAAGGAGAAAATGGCATTGCAATGTTTTAGTCAAATCTTTAATCCAAATGATGAAGTACTCACTACAGATGAATCCAGACATTCATTATAATTTAGACACTGCTTTACAAACGCATTAATTTTCTCTTCAATCTTTTTTTTTTCAATTAGAAATTCAGGAGAGGAGGAGCACAGCCACCTCGACATTAGGAAACCAGCAAATGAAATCAGGTAGCTTTCATGCCCCTACACACGATATTGAATTAATCAATTTTAAAACAATATTATGAAAACATTTTCATCATAAACTTGCAATTACATCTTCTAGTGTTAGCAATGTTATTCGTCTTGTAATATTAAGAAATGAAAATAAGCCTAGATATATATTAGCTGATCAAAACAGCTGAATACTTATATATTAAGATTCCCCGTTAAACTAAAAATAAATGTCTCTCTTATGAATTTTATCTTGAATATCTGGGTTAACATGTGAAAGAAGGAACATATTTTAATCATTCTTCCCTTTCTGATGCTCCATATTTCATTTGTTCAGAAGGCACATGGAAGATTTATTTCACGCAGCTTCATGATAAAACAACAGAAGGATCTGAAGAGTTAATAAAGAAAATTTCTGCATTGGTTATGGTTTTTTATGGAAGCAATGGCAAATCAAATCCAATTTCCATGGAAAACAAAGTGGGACATGAAGCTGAGGACCAAATAACATATGATGTAAAATACTATGTACATTTTTACTTTCTATCTTTTTAACATCCAATTTCATAAGCAGGTGCTGTTTGCATAAAAATAGAAAATAGATACTGTTATATTTCAATTTAAGAACCAATTCTGCATCTTTTCCAGTAGTCAAGAAAGCAGAAATGGACCTTTTAGTTATATAACCTATTTCATTTGTAATATTTTTATGCTGTCATGGCTCATTGTGACCAAACCTGTTTCATTTGTTTTTTGTTTCTGTTTTTGGTTTTTTTGGGGGTGGTTGGGGGGTGGAGGTGGGTTGTCATCAAATAGATACAGTTGATAATGCAAATGTATGCAATTTCTATTGACATTCAATATTCACTTTTCCAAGCCAGGTCAGTACGTACATTCAAATTGAGTCTAGACTCACTTACAAAAATTAAAAAGAATTATAATAAATACCACTGCAGTATAAAGCTGGTGTTTCCCAAAGCTCTCACTATTAGTAAAATTCTTGGGAGTTTTACTAGGAACATCAGTGGGAGCAGGAGATTGGATAGGATTAACCAGTTTTTGAATATCCAACTTATTTTTAACCAGTTGTATGATGCTGAATGCTAACAGATTGATTTGTTGTTTCCTAGGTGTATTTCCCTTCTGACTTGGGCATGCTTTATAAAGTGAGACTTGGGCTTCAGGGCTGGGAAAATAACACATCCCAGTTGTTTCTACGTCAGTTTAAAATGCAGAACACAAAAACCCTGGATACCTTCAGTCTCACTATAAATAAAACACTTCCTCTTTCTCTTAATGGAGACAGATGGATGGAGCTCCCTATAGAGTGGCCATTAAAAGATGCACTTTCTGGTAGGTATAAATCTACATTAAAGTAGTAGAATGGTTCAGAAGGTTAACATGTTCTAATATAACAGCTGAAGCCTTTATCAAACAAAATGTTTCATTGTCCATACTTAATGTTTCATGAAATCTAGATAAGAATTCACATGTGCCTGTAAGGGTAAACATTATTCATTTGGCTTAATTTTTGGATCCTAAAATATGCAACACAAATGTATTGTACACAAACATTATGAACAGCATAGAACAATATTAGCAAATGCTCTTCTCTTTTGTTACATTTCCATTCAGTCTCCAGCTGCTGCTTTTTATAACAGTACTTATTACCACTCACCTTCTAATAAGTGATTTTTTAACAAACAATTATGCTTGTTAAAAATTAAGTCAAAGATTGTCCTATAGATGTCATCTTTTTTGCTTAGCAAGGCATAAGGATCTGGAACAGTCTTTCTTATTTTTCACCTTGCACCTTTCTTGTTTTTCTAGTGAAAAAAGTAGAAGGCAGGGTGGGGTGCCATCTTAAAGACTGATTTTTAGCCTTCTGCCAGGCTTTAGACTATCATGGCTAACTAGCTCTCTCTACTAGTGAAGAAGTAAACTACACTAATTTAGCACCATAACTCTTAGCCTAACAAACAGGTCAAATTAAGGGTTTTATTAAAAATAAACTTAAGATTTTAAAAAAAAATTAAGGGTCTTTTAAAAAATGTAATCTTTAATCAATTTGCAGCTGGGTGTTACTCAGAAAAACACCCATTCACATAAACATGGACAACAAAGTATGCTTACCAAAGACTTAGTCCATAGGCAAATGAAATCAGTGCTAGTCTTTCCCTGGAGCACAACACAAGTTGCACAAGATGAGCAAGATGTCTCAGTTCAAGTAGTCTTGGTATGACTATTCTTTTTGTTTCTTGGTTTGACTAGCACAAAATATTTAAATTCATAATCAGGGCTACTGTTTCCAGTTGTCTGCAGAACTGTGTACCATGATTGCAGTATGGGGACAATAGTGTTAAAAGTTAGGTTGATTTTTACTGACACATGCATGTATATTTGTATACAGCTATATCCATGTACACACATACTGAGTGTAATGTGACATGGCCTGCTGAAATTTAGACTAGGTTTTCTTTCTGTTGATGTTCTTTGACACTAATCTGTTGATGTTCTTTGGCAAATAATTTCAGCTCTCTGTGCCTCAGTTTCCCCATTTGTCATTTGTAGATAATGATACTTTTCCTCCTTTATAAAGTGCTTTGAACTCTGCTAGTGAGAGTTGCCATGCAAAATGTAGGTATTAATATAATATAATGGAAAATAATATGATATCTATTCACTATGGGCCAGATGCTATTACACCTGTTAGGCATGTAAGTGTTCTTAGATGCCTAAGTATGATCTTCTTCCACCTTGATCAAGTCTGTGAAAAATTAATAATATAGCAGGCCCTCCTCTTCTTCCTCCTCTTACTGCCTTTTTTACTTAATTTTCATGGCAAGATGATGGCAGGTTATGAAAGCAAATGTATTAATGGAATTTTAGGGACTCAAACATGGTGGAACAAAATTGCAGTTAAATCCATCTACCAGTAGATGCCTAATAGGTGGGATAGGACCTGGCCCTACGTGTACATATACTATGTGTAACAGTAACATGTTGCTTGATAATCAGAAATCCTGAATTAAGTTAGTTTTCTCTGTTTAAAAATTGCAAGTTCACTGATTAACATCCCCCCACCTCCACCCCAAATCCACACTTAGAATGAAACGCCACTGTATATATACGTATCAATTGAACACAGCATTTTATTGATATATTTACAATTTTAAAGCGAGTTGGAAGCCTACCAGTGCCTCATCCACTATAATAAAATAAATTCTAAGTACCTATACATTTTGGTATTTGATTTTGGGTTTTTTATCATGGAAAATTAGAGCTCCCTCTGCCCCCATAGCTTACTAGGATGTAGGTCCAGGCCCCTTGCTCCCCACCTACAGCCCTCCCAGCCCTGTGTCCACAGTGGGCAGCCTGCCCCTGCCCCCACCCCACACACAGATCTGGAGGCACATTCCCCCTTCCTCCACAGGAGTGTATGCAGCAATGGGGAGCCAGCTCCCCACCTCGCCCCCCGGACAAACCTCCCATGGGTTTGTCCCGCTCCCCACCGGGGCCCTGAGGTCTCACAAGGCACCAGGCACCAGGCCTCAAGCCACCCAGTTGAGCAGCAGCAGTAGCTGCAGTCCCAGCACTGTCCAGCTCCCTTGCTCCCTCTTTATGGGTGCCTCAGTTCCCCCTCCCACTCCCAGACTTACCTGTGGGAGATGCTCTCCAGACTGCCTGTCAGCCATGTGCATGTGTGAATGGTACCCCCTGCCTGACCACCCTCCTCCCACTTCCCCCAGCCCCCTGCAGGCTGCAACTCTGCCAGCCTGAAAAGAGCTCTATGGAAAAGTGGAAATCTGCGTGTTTCTCCGTTAAAATGAAAAATCTGCATTTTTCATGGTTCAAAGGGAAAATATGCACTTAGTATTTAGCTTGTGGAGCCCAAAACTAAATAATATTCTAGATGAGGCCTAAACAGTGCTGAGTAAAGAGGCACTATCACCTCTTGTGCCTTGTACCTAGTGCTAATATTGATGCAGCTTGCAGCCCAAAACTGCTTTCGCCTTTTGTGCACCTGCATCATACTGCAGACTCATACTGAGTCTGTGATCCACTAAGACTCCTAGATCCTTTTTGTTGTGCTGCCACTCAGCCAAATGTCACTCATTCTGTATTTGTGTTGTTGATTATTCTTCCCGAGATGTAGCATCTTGTATCTGTCAACACTGAACTTCATCCTGTTAGCTCTAGCCCAGCTTTCCATTCTGTCAAGTTTCTTCTGAATTGCACTCCTGTCCTCCAAAGTGTTCATGATCCTTCCCAGTTTTGTGTCATCTGCATATTTGCTCAAGAAGCTCTCTATTACAGCATCCAAATCATTAAATAACATGTTGAGCAAAACAGGGCCCAGGAAAGACCCCTAAGGGCTTCCACTCAGAAGCTCTTACCATTCTGACATGGATCTATTTATAATTATCCTGTGATTGTGACCATCAATCCAGTTGTCTAGCCACCTTATAGTAGTTTTGTCCAGCCCACATTTCTTCAGTTTGTTTATGAGAGGGTTATATGGGAATTTATAGAAGCTCTTCTTGTTTTTAACCTCCCTCTGCAGGTGCAGCTCTTTCTTTGTTTTGCCTTCCTGATTCTGTCCTGGCAAGTTCTTGCTGTTTCCGGTTATGATTCCTTGATGATCTGCCCATCTTTCCATTGCCTGTATACTTTCCTTTTGCATTTGAGGAATCTTCGAAACATCTCACGCAGCCACATTGGTGCTTTGCCATTCTCTTTGTTTCCATTGTGTCAGAGCAGCTTCTTGTTGGGCTTGCAATACTGTGTCCTTTAGAAGCCTCCAGCCCTCCTGGTCACCTTTATCTTTTAGTCTATCCTCCCTTGGCACTATGCACGCTATCTCCTTAAGTCAGTTGAATTCAACATTTTGAAATACCGTGTCTTAGTTCTGCTGACCTCATGCTTTCCCTGTATCAAGATAATGAATTCCATCACACTGTGATCCAATTATCCAAGTTTCCTATCACCTTCACACCCTCCATCAGTTCTTCCCTATTGTCCAGTACAAGATCCAAGTTAGATGATCTCCTAGTTGCATCCTCAACTTTCTGGAAAATAAAGTTGTCTCCACATAAGTTTAGAATTTACTCAAAAAATGAAGTCTCCCATCAGTACCGTGTCATAACATTTGGATAATTTTTGGTCACTTCCTTGAAGAGTGCCTCATTCACCTCTTCTTCCTGACTTGGTAGCCTAAAATAAATTCCTGCCATTATACTGGTGTTGTAGCTTTCACTTTTTCTCTTCACCCAAATACATTCTGATCTGTTACCTTCTTCCTCCTGAACCAGGGAACAAGTGTATATATTTTTGACATGCAAGGCAATACTGCCATCTTTTCTCCCAAAGCTGTCCTTCTGAAATACAATGAAGCCTCTGTGTTGACGTTTCAGTCATAAGAGCTGTCCCACCAAGTTTCTGTGACACCAAACAGATCATAATTCTTTTCACAGACTATCACTTTCAGTTATCTTGTTTGTTTCCTATACTTCTCATATTTGTACACATACATCAGATATATTTTATATTCTGATTACTCATTTCCCTTTTGGATCAATTGTTGCTGTCCTGTGACTCTCTGACCCTTTCCTATAGTTGAGCTGCTTCTTACCCTCTGTTGAGCTATAGTTGAGCTGCTTCTCCTGCCAAAGACTGGTGCATATTCACAAACTAGGCATCCCTACACTCAAGTGCTCTCAGGGGCTTGATCTGGTAGATGTGTTCACAGCAGAACTAATGTGCGCAAGCGCATGCATGTGCACACACACACGCACATGCGCACACACACACACACACACACACCACTGAGTATAGCATAGAACTCAACAGCCAGAACCATTTTCATTCAAAAGCAAGGGAAGAGGGTGTGCCTATCTTTTATATAGCTAGTGGCTAGCAGACTCTCCCAAGTAAGCAGAAGACTCATGTTCTTCTTCCACATTCCCTCTGCAGCCTAAGAAGGTTCAAAGCTACATTCCCACCTCATAGATGAGTGCCCTATATACTTAGAAGTTAAGCTAGAGCAGGGGCACTCACTGCCCTATCAGATAGGTGAAAGTGGCCCATCATGTTGGCAATATAATATGATTTCTTCGTTTTATGCCTAAATTAGTGCTTGTGCTGTTGCATTTCAGCAGATTTACATTGTTGCAGTGTTAAATACCTGTAGAAATGCCTGTTTTATTGTAATGACATGGCATCTTTCCTTTTGTTCTTGCAGTGGTCACATATCATGTAACAGTAGTTTCCAGCAATGTTTTGAAAAAGAAAAGTGTAGTACAGGTGACAATGTGTGTACATGGAACCAATGGTGACACAGGGGACAGACCCCTTCTCCATCTGTTGCAGAATCCTAAGCAAAGAGAAGATAATGAGGTATTTAATCTCAAAGTTATCTTAAAATATTAAATGTTGTAATACTGAAAAGTTATCTTGAAGTATTAAATGTATTTAATATATCTTAAAATGTAGCATTGGATAATGTTTTTACAGTCCTTTACAGTTCACATGGACGCTGTTGAATTGGGAGAACTGCACAAAGTTGTCCTTTCCATCCACAGCAAAACAGGTAAATTACTTTGGCTAAATGTAAGCAATATACAGAAGTTATTGTTCCTGCAGTAGTTGCACAGACAAAACTCCTGTTGAATTCAGTGGATTGCTCTAAGCCCTGAGGGATTGTGTTCACCTGGATTTATGACCTCCAGTGATGATTTCATGTAAGATGCATAAACAGTCTTTGAGACAATGAGTGGAACATAGGTGATTTCCCTTACCACTAAACTACAGAGCCATGGTTCTTTGTGTTCTGTTTCTCTGGCCCATCTTGAATTGAACCAGTTCATCTCAATATATTTATTTAATTTCTAAATTTAATTGATGGTTAGGGCATTTACAGGGAGATGGGATTTGTGGGTATGAATCCCACAACTCAAGCAAAGGAAACTTACATAGGTGTTCCAACTCCCAAATGAGTTGTCTGACAACTAGGCTGTTATATGAGGGGTGCTGCCAACTCCACCACCATCTCCTTAAAAGAAAGGTATAAACACATCTCTGTTTTGAAAGAAAATTTGTAGGCATCTGTCTTCAGGACAAGTTTCCAAGATAGAGTTCCCAAAGGGAAGAAGGCATCTTTCTGTAGTCCTATGTAAGCAAGCTTAACCCTAGAGAGGGTTAAGGCTTAAAATGCACCTTTATTCCTATCATTTCCTATTAGTTAGCAAAGAGAGTTCATTAATGAATTTGTTAATGTTAGGACGCTCCTTGTTCTGTGTTTCCATTCTGAGATTCCTATAGCACAGAGCTCTGGATTTCACTCTAGGGCTTTACATTTATAACTTTTTTTTAAAGTCACTCTTGCATTAATGAGTCTGTTTAAGTGCTAAGCAGAGCTACTGATATAAGGAAAGATAGTTGGGTATACTTTAGGTGAATTTGGGACAAAGAAAGGGAAAATTTTTTTATTTGTTAAGGGCTAAACAAAGGCAGTAGACTGCAGCCTGTGAAATGGGCTGCATGTAGCTGCAGTAATCTAAGAGGAGTCCAAGGAAGGAACTGTGACTCAGGACGTTTGCCAAATTTACTGTGCCTCAGCAGTGCCAGTGCCTTGGCAAGGAAGTTTGGTGCCCGGGGCTTGAGGGCAGTACTGCCAGACATGTTAAGTTTACCATGTAGACATGGCCTCAGGGTATCCATCCTCCCTCTTCTGTCCTCTTACTCTGAATGAAGTAAATTGCAACATCCCTTTTAAAGTATAACTCACTTTACTCCATGCTTTTAGCCAGGTCTTCTTATTGTTGCCTGAAGATTAGAGCCAGCTACACCCTCTGTCAACCACTTACTTGCATGTGGGAGTGGTAGACATGCAGTCCCTGCTCTTCCCCTTCATACATAGCTAAGCCATACTCAGAGAACCTTAGTTCTCTACATAGGACCTAGTAACAATCTTGCCCTAAACTGCAAACTTGAGGTTTACAAGTACACTGAAAGAAACGATCATTTCAATCATAATCTATAATGCTGCTAAAACATATATTAAGAGGGGAGCTGAGCACTATTTTGATTGACTGATTCATCAAAAAGCCACATTATTATAGTGTTAGTATGCCACGCACCACATAAATCCTGAACACAAAGTTCATTATTTTAATTGGATTTTGTTTATCTGTAGGCTGTAAACTGGACATCAAAAAAATACATTTGAAAGAAGCTCTGAAGCCAGACTATATCTACATATTTGAAGTGAATGAGTAAGTTTCATCTTTTATGCTAATCATTATCCTATGATAATTAAAAGTATTAGGCAATGTATCAAAGTTACTTTTGTCACAAAGTATGTTAATTAGTGGGTATTTAACAAAAGTGTCCATACTAGTTTCTCCATTTAGCACTTTGATGGAAATGTGTGTTTTCTAACATATATAAATGGTTTATGGAGCTGCAAATCATTTTGCTTTCCAGAATGTTTTCAGTGAATGCCGGTGAGCCTGAAATAAGAGAAATCCCAGTATCTTTTGTTATCAAGGATGGAGTTGAACTAAAAAATGAAGTAAATCACACTTTACTTGAGGAAAAAAGTCCTACGGAAAATGTGGCAGAATATATAATTAAAGTATATACAGGTGACAAAAGGGGAGCAGGAACTGATGCTAATGTGCATATTATTTTATTTGGGAATGAAGACACATCTGAAATATTTCAACTCATAGAATCACTGGAACACAGAGATCCTTTTGAAAGAGGGAAGGTAAGTGCTGCAGTCATCTGATGTGTGATACTAACAAGTTAGGTGTAGGAAGGACCTTTAAGTAGTTGCAGACACCGATTCTGTTTTCCAAGGCATGGCTCTAACCCTCTTAATGGTTCATTAAATCCCTAGGACATTGACAAATGTATAGTCTAATTGACTCACTATAATAATCAGGTAAATGAGTAGCTGTTTCAGGTCTTCTGTCCTAAAAGAATTAGGGAACCTTATTCTTCTAAGGTATTCTAATTAACCCTGTGGCCTTTTGGCTGCTTGGGGCCCTTGCCATTGCCTCTGAATACATCCACTTTCCTACCCAGTCCTATGTTCCTGAATGCAGATGATGTGGGTCAACATTATCCGCATTTATGAATGTCTCTTACTGCTGTGCAAACTTTCTGCTTGCATTTTCATACAGGGTAGAAATATCCCAACCCAGTAAATTGTAGCATTCTAGTTCATGAGAACAGATACTCTAAAGAGTCCTGAGAGGCACAAATAGTGATTGGCCATGTAACCAGAAAAACATAACCCCATGTATTCCACCCAGTGTTTGATGTCCATCTTACTCAAAACCACATCCAGATCCTTGGTTCCAATATGATAAGATAAAAATCTTATCAAGTGAAGGCTTTGTCCAAGTAATAGGACACTTAACTTTAATTTATAAAAAGAAGAAAAAATTAATCCAGCAAATACCACACAACCATACAAACATTATCCACCACAGGTTACTTTGAATCACTTTGTGGTATCAAAATGATCATTCTGGCTCTTGAGTTTCCTGTGTAACAGGCAATAGATACACTAAATTCCCCCTATTGTTCCATAATATACAGTTGAACTTTCATTGATCACAAACCTCTCCTTTTTGAACTTGCCCTATCTTCAGCCAAGCTGCCTGTCAGTATCATTTGGAGGAACTTCACTAATTGTGATATCCTCCACATATAGTAGGTTCATGGTGGTGGGGGAAAGCTACTGGTGCAAGCACAAGGAGGAAAGCAGGGTATACTGCTTGCTAATGAAGATGTGATACTATTGAGCAAGTGTTATGGTCCACTGGAAGCAGTTAGATTGAACAACTATAAGCAATTCAACAATGTCAGTTATGGATTGGTGCCAATGATGTGCCCTTTAACTTTTTAAATATTGTTCTAATGAAAAAAAATCTGTTTTCTTTTCCTATAATTCATGAACAAGTATATATTTGGAGCCAAATGTGGAGTACTTGAGGGGCATGCCAATGAATAGAATTAAAATCACTTATGTTTACATTCTCAGAGGCATATTTTGTATCATAAATCAAAGGTAATAGAAAGTACCATTTCTTTATCTTGTTGCCAAATTCTAATTCATCAAGGAGAAACATCTCTCCTGTGTATAGAAACCAATAAAAAAGGTAAAAATCATTTAAATAACTTAAGAAATAAATAATGGGTGTTTAAAGGAAGACTTTCATTAGTAATAATAATGCATTCCTGCCACCAGTTATCTTTATTTTCTTTCATTCAGTTACCTTTGAATGAATCAAAGAACAGAGCTAGCCAAGCCTAGTACATTTGAGACTTACTATTTTCTAATCATTGCTTCTTTTTTAAATTTAAAGGTTGATACCTTCAGAATAAAGACAAAAAGTTTAGGAAGCCTACATTCAATTGAAATTGGTCATGATGGGAAAGGAGTTGGTATGTATCCCTAGATATATTTTCAGTATGTTTGTAAAAGGTACAGGGGTGTTGGTTGCAGCTGTATTGTTCTAAGGACAAACTCAAGCAACGTTCTTAGGGTAGATGAGCTATCTTGTATTAGACCAACTAAATAGTTGTGAAAAGGTTCTTTGCAAGCTTTTGGGAACAAACGGCCTTCTTCAGGAGTTGGGAGACTCTGCTGCTGTTATGAGTTCTCCAAGATAGAAAAGAAGCTAAAGTAAACAAGAAGTCTGTGAAGATGCAAATGGGTGGAAGTTTGGAAGACAAAGGGAAGGGAGGAGGGAAGGGAGGGAAAAGTGTGAAGGAATGCCAGCAGTCAGCTAAAGACAGGTTACCTGGTGTGTCAGATGTTGGGCAGGTTGTAATGCGTCATAAAGCCAATGTCTATATTAAGTCCATTATTTTTTTTATCCAGTAGTTTTATGAAGTGAAGTTCATAGGGTCATCTATGAAAAATGTTTTGTAAATTCACTTTGAGGATTAAAACTGAGAGATTGGAGCTTGAATGATTGTCTTGTGAGAAGCGGGCACCCACAGGTAATTGGGTGTTTTTGAATTTGATGGATTTTCGGTGTGCGTTCATGTACACAGTTGTTGTTTGGTTTCTCCTACATATTTTTCATCAGGGCATTTGGTGCACTGATGAGATGCATTACATTTCTAGAGGTGGAGGTGTAAGATACAGAAATGGTGATGGTTCTGTTGTGGGATGTAGTTATTGTAGGACTCGTGGAGATGTGTTGGCAGGTTTTACATTTCTTGTCCTGGCATCCATTTGGTGTGGTTTGCATCATAGTAAGTTTGCTTCTGGTCATGAGGTTAGCAAAGTTCAGTGTTTGTTTAAAGGCTAGGATGTGTGGTTCTGGAAAGATCTCTTTAAGAATTGGGTCTTCTTCTAGTATGGGTTGCAATTGTTTGAGGATTTTCTGTATAGGTTCCAGAAAAGGATGTTATGTCATAACTAATGGTGTGCTATTCGTGGGGATTTTCTTTTTCTGCTGTAGCAGTTCTTTGCATGGTATCCAGGTGGCTCTTTCAAAAGTGAAATCTATCTTTCTGGAGGAGTGTCCTTCTTGGGTGAAAGCCCTTTTGAGATTTGTGAAGTAACAGTTTTGGGTGGTGCAAATTTGGTGGTATTGGAGAACTTGGCTGTAAATTACAGCTTTTTTTTTAGTGTGTTTAGAGTGACTGCTGGTTCTGTGTAGAAGTATATGTTGGTCCATGGGTATCTTGTATATGGTGATTTGTATTTTATTGTTTTGATTATTGATCATGGTGTCTAAAAATGAAATGTTGGTGTTGGAGTATTCAAGAGAGAGCCTGATAGAAGGATGATGGTTGTTGAATTTGTGATGGAAATCAATCAAAGATTGCAGGTTTTTGGTCCAAATGATGAAGAGGTTATCTATACATCTCAGGTATAGCATGGGTTTGATGGTTCAGTTCCTGGGGAATTCTTCTTCCGGATGGGCCACAAAAAGGTTGGCATATAATGGACTTGATATAGACATTGGGTTTATGACACATTAAAAACTGCCTGACATCTAACACACCAGGTAACCTGACTTTAGCTGGCCATTGGCATTCCTTCAAACTTTTCCCTCCCTCCCCACTCCCCCATCTCTACCCTTTGTCTTCCAAACATCCACTCATTTGCATCTTTACAGACTTTTTGTTTACTTTAGCTTCTTCTCTACCTTGGAGAACTCATACCAGCAGGAGAGTCTCCCAATGCCTAATGAAGGGCGTTTCATAGTAGCTAGGGTCAGGAGGGACCTGATCAGATCATCTAGCCTGACCCCCTGCCACAGGCAGGAATGAATGCTGGGTTCACAAGACCCCAGACAGGTGATCATCTAACCTCTTTTTGAATTTGCCCGTGGTAGGGGCAAGGACCACTTCTCTAGGAAGTTGGTTCCAGATTCTGGCCACCCTAACATTGCCTCCTGATCTCTAACCTAAACCTATTCTCCATCAGCTTATTACCATTGTTCCATGTCACCCCAGGTGGTGCTGGAGAGGCTCTTCCTGTTTGCTGATGATCTCCCCTGATGAGTTTGTAGGCAGTCACCAGGTCTGCCCTCAGCCTCCTCTTGCTGAGGCTGAACAGGTTTAAGTCCCTCAGTCTCTCCTCATAGGACCTGTCCTGCTGCCCTCTCACCAAGTGGGTGGCCCTCCTCTGAACTCTCTCCAGGCTGGCCACATCCCTTTTAAAGTGTGGCACCCAGTACTGGATACAGTACTCCAACTGCGACCTGACCAATGTCACAAAGAGGAGAGCATCACCTCTCTGGACTGACTTGAGATGCATCTTTGGATGCATGACAAGGTATGGCTGGCTTTGCTGGCTGCAGTCTGGCATTGGCGGCTCATGTTCATCTTGGAGTCAATAATGACTCCAAGATCCCTTTCCACTTTCTAGAGGGGAACTCCCCAGCCTGTATGTATGCTGTGGATTCCTTCTCCCAAGGTGCAGCACCCTGTATTTATCTACATTGAACCGCATCCTATTCTCATCTGCCCACTTTTTTAGTCTGTCTAAATCTAGTTGCAGCCTCGCTCTCCCTTCAAGTGTGCCCACCTCGCCCCACATCTTAGTGTCATCAGCAAACTTGGAAAATGTGCTTTCAACCCCCTCGTCTAAGTCACTGATGAAGATGTGAAACAGTGCAGGCCTGAGGACTGAGCCCTGGGGGACCCCACTGCTTACATCTCACCAGGTTGAGTACGACCCATCCACCACTACTCTCTGGATGCACCCCATCAGCCAGTTTTACCCATCCAACTGTGTAGGCATCAATGCCACAGTCGCTTAATTTATTAATGAGAATGGGGTGAGAGACAGTGTCAAAGGCCTTCTTAAAGTCTAGAAAGACTGTGTCACACACACTCTGTGCCCCAGCAAATGTGCGTGTGTGATGCACATCCTGGCACCTGTCTCCCCGTCTTGGTTTTCACTAAAATTGCAAGCATTTGTGCCCAAAAGCTTGCAAAAAACTTTTCCTCAGTTATTTAGTTGGGCTAATAAAAGATATCACATCTACCCAAAGAACCTTGCCTGTGTAAAAGGAACAGTAATTTTAAGCATCTGTTTGAAATTTGGAAAGGGATTTCAGCTAAGAACTTAGCTGATAAATCCATTGAGGTCAATGGAGCTACATTAACTTACAGCAGCAAAGGATCAAGCCCAGGATTTATTAAATAAAATTGTCTTACTCCCTGAAAGTTTATTTTTACATTTATTATTAGTACATATCTAGGAGGACTTGATCTTGAATTCATTATTCAGCCCAAAATGCTATTAAATTCATCCAACTTGTTACCATGCTTAGGCTTGAGGCCTAAAAGTAAAGACTAGATCTAAACATTTTCAAGCTTTGAAGTATTATCTAGACAGACAAAAAGTGAATGTTAGCATGTGTTTGTTTAGAAGCTTAAACTGAAGACAAATCACACCAGAGGGAGAACACCAAGGCATACATAACTATGCAACATTAGTATCTGTGTAAGCTGGTTGCTTAGCCTGCTGGCTTTGCAAGGGAATTCATTCCCTGAAGAGCTCCTCAGACAGCCCCGTAAAGCAAAGTTCAGTCTTAAACAAACCAAACAAAATCCCTCTGGTCTGCCCTGGACACTAGGAGGGGGGCTGTTTTCGCTTTGCATAGCAACCTGGCTCCTCCTTGCATCAAGCTGTTCCTTTTACAGTTCGCTTCCTCCTCCTCTTGCATACTCTTTTGGGAGATTTTAAAACTCCCAGTAGGACATTCTCTGCTTACCACACGTTCCACTGCTGGGCTCAGTACCGTAGCAAGGAGGTTTGGTACCCAGAGCAAGCCCACAGCGGCAGCCCACCTTCACCATGTGCCCACAGATCCAGGTGGGCACACATCCACCCATGCTTGCCCAGGAGTACATGCAGTGGCAGGATCCACCCCCCCCCCCCCCCCCCCCCC